AAGTCGACGGGCGGCAGCGGGGAGCGGGCGAGGGGAGGCAGGCTGTTCCCCGCAAGCATCCGTGGTCTTCCTCAAGCCCGGCCTTTTGCGGGCCACAGTCTTCTCCAGACCTAATTCCTTCCTTGATTACCTGAAGGGAAGGGGACGCGCTTTTATTTCAAATTACGAAAGAATCGTTATAAATGACGTAAAGGACGAACGATCGTGGGGTCTGGGCTCTGCCTGGTACGAACTCGACCTACTCACCCAGCAGCGGCTCGTGGAGGAGGAGGGGAGCGGGGGTAGAGTTCGACCACCAGGTCAACGTCTCTCCTTCGGAGGGCAAAACCAGGGCGAGGGCGCGATGCCGCTCCCTCAAAACCTCCCCGCTCCCGGCTCAGCCCCCTGTCTTGCTCCTCGAGGGATTTTATTTATTTTTCTTCCCCCTTTAATCCACTTAAACCCAAGAAATTCCACGGTTTTGAGTCATGCGAGGAACAACCTCCTTTCGACGCCTAGAAAAAACCGCGCCGGAGGGGACAGAGCAGGAGCAGAAGGTTGCGAGGTAGTTTGAGGCGGGGGAAATAAAAGCTCCCAAGAGCAGGGAGGGTTAGCGCAGCCCTCTCGGATGCCGGGATGGCACAAGCAGAGGCCGATAACGTGTTTTAACAGAATTAGGAAAAAAGCCCCGGGGAAGGCGGAGTCCGACAAAGAGAAGCCCAGCGATTTTAGACAGAAGGGCTGAACAAACGCCCGAGCTGCTTCTGTCGCGTCGTCTGTGGGAGGCGGAAGATGGATGGGTGGCACCTAAAGGAAATCTTCACCCCCTAAATCTGGAAATTATCCCAGCGGCCAGGTATTAGAGCAGAGATAAATTGATTTCCCCAATCTTCACCCCCTAAATCTGGAAATTATCCCAGCGGCCAGGTATTAGAGCGGAGATGAATTGATTTCCCGCTCCTGGAAGGAAACGGAGAGGATTTAAGACCTGTGGCCACTTCAGCACGTTGATTGGAGACTCACAGCATCCTACAATTATTTCCATACCTTAGGGAAATACTTATGGATGACGCAGGGATTTCTAGCCTGGAAACATTCAGACTGTGAAACGATGCTCTGGGTGATACATCCTTGAAAGAAGTCCTCGATTTAATACCCTTTAAAGTCTTGCTCGTGGGATTCTCATCTAAAACAATTAAAATAAATGAACATGAAGCTGTCGGCAACTTCGCAATCGGAGTAAGGAATTAAAGGGGTGCCGCCCTGCTGCATTATCAGTACGTTTCTATACGTAACGCCACAGAGACGAGTTCTACCGTCCGCCATTTGCTGATGACCGATAGATAGCCCAGCGAGCTCGAGCGCCTCGGAACTCCCCGCTGGGAGATGCTCCCCACAGCCTCGGAGACCTCGGAAGGAAGCAGAGCTACGAGGCCAGGCACGTCCACAGGAAATCCTGCCAGGAGACGGGGCTGCCCGCTCCGAAACACCCCAACACTCGCCTCAAAACCTCCTGCAGTTTCCTTCCCTGGATTCTTCCCGCAGTCTCCTCCCCAGATCCTTCTTGTTTGGGCCCTGCGAAAATACCACTCTAGAGAAGGAGAGAAGCAGGCTGCGCTGGGCGCAGGGGTGATCAGGCAGGAGTTAGAGTGGTGCACGTGGTTATAATTATTATAATTATTACCTAAGATGCTGAAATACCCCAGAGCGTTAGCAGAAACTGAGATCTTGGCTGAACAACCAGAAAATACAAGTTAAATCACCGCCAGAGCCAGGGCCACTGCCGAGGGTATCGCAGTAGCTGTAGCAGACATAAGGATGGCCTGGGGGAAAAAACAAAACACCCTTATTTACGCCGAGCTGCATAAATTTGAATCGAGGCACTTAATCGCGTGTTGTCCAACAAATCAACGCGGGATACAACCAGCACATGCGTGGAGCGCGGAGGGAAGCAAGCCGAAGCAACAATCCAGCTCGCCTTTCCTTGGGGAGAAGCGGCGGCATCTGAAAACCATCACGACGGGCGTAAATCGAGCGACAGCCTGATGTATAGCACCTATATCCTAAAGCCTGTCCCTCACAGCAACCGGCACGCGGGAGGAGCTGCAGTGAACCCTACGCGATCGCTTACTCGTCAGCAATTCTCTTAAGAGGTAGTTCCTTCAGGGAAAAGATTTACAGGAAAGTTGGCGTTTCTACGGGATTTTAGCACCCGCCGGCTCCTCCGAGCCCTTCCCGGCTGATTTCCTCGCCTCTTCTCCGCTCACGTGCTCCGAGTCCGCAGCACCTCTGGGGACGAGGTGCTTGGATGTTCCTATGGATCACGGGCAGACCGAGGTCCATCCTGCTCGGCTTCGAGCCGTCCGAGGGGGTTTTAGTTAGCATGACTAATTAATTGTCGTCAGGCGTTTGGAGTTTACTGCCTGCATGCTAGAGGAGCACGGAGCCATGAAAACCTTAACGCTACATATACGAGCACCAAGCATTTCCATTTTCACCAAGCAGCGTACCTATATCTGCACTTAATTCAAGGATTTTGACTCGGAACACAAACCCACAGCGATATTTAGCGTATAAGGACCCAGTCACAGCCATCAAGCCTCAAAACGCTCCCGAGAAGCTGGGTGAGCCCCGACCTCCTCAACACGGCAGCACGGATGGCGATCGGGGCTCAGCACCTCCTCGCACGCACCAGCTGCCTCGCGAGAAGGTCTCGCTCCTCGGCCAGACCTTTGTTTGAAAGGGAACGCAAAGCTCAGAGTCCAAGGGAAGGGCTGTTGTACAGTTAATCCATCACCAGAAAGTAGAAAGCTCGGCAGAACGGCGCGGGGGAGTGTCCAAAACCCGCGACGTGCCTGTTAATCGACCTGAAAAAGCAGTTGTTGAAGAGATGAAGTTTGCCTCTGCAAGGGGAAGCTGGGTTCTGCTAAGAGGAGGCAAGGTGTTCCTTCCGACCCGAACTTCGGGAACGCCGAGGTCACCTCACTCCGCCTGTGCCCCAATTACACAAGCAGGGAATTAATTACAAATTGTTCTTTCACCCCGTCAGCTGATTTTCCCTCCCCTTGTTGATAATCAGGGTGGAAAAAAAAAATCAACAGATAGAAGATAACCAGTGCGGCGAGCAGCCCAAACTCCACTCGCTGTTTCCTGCTGGAAGTTCTGCAGATGTTTTGATCGACGCCAACACTTCCGGAGCGAGCGAAAGTGGACGGGAGGAGCCGCCGTCCAGGAGGTGAAGAGCCTCCTCCCAAAAAACCACCAGCTGGGAAGCAGCATATTTAACACACAACCTGCACCCCTCGACGGTCCCTTTTCTTCAAATTCCTTTTTTAAGCCGGTATCACGGTGTAGTAGAGAAACACGGACAACAGGAAGGGGAAAATAAGGAAATAAAGCAGAAAGGGGAAAGTGTAAGGAAGGTGTAACTCACTGTATTACAAATAAAGGTGGGTTTTGTCTGTTTTTAAAAAGAACAGCTGGCTCACAGAGATCTCGGCACTGCCAGGACCCAATATTTAAAGTTACAGGCAGCCTACCCCGATTAAAGAATCTCAATTTTCTTACGTCAACCTTAAATCAAAGGTATTTCCCTATCGTGCTTTCTGAAAATCCACCCTGATTACAACATCCATCCTCGAACGCAGTAAAACGCAAGCAGAGCGCAGGTCTTAACACTTCAACAAAGCCAAGCCCAGTTGTTTCCCTCAGGATTAAATCTAGATCAGAGAGTTTCTACAGAGCAAAGCAGGAGGAAACCTGGAAATCACCACAAAGCTCTGCTGAGCACGGAGGGAAAAAAAAACCAGCAGCTGTAAAAGGCGGCAACAGAATCGAGACTCTTTTCTTGGCACAGGCTAAATTTGAACAGATGACGGTGGCCAGCTGAATGCCCATCTGCCTTCAAAGCAAAAATATGCGAAGATTACACTTCCGAGGCAGTGTTCTAACCCTGCACCCCGGTCTCGTCTTTTACAGCCTTCAAAATCACCCCCCACACACACCCTAAAGTGCCACCAGCGTCCTCCAAGGCACCCGGTTCATTCCCGCAGCGCGCTAACGGCGCTCAGCGGTAATCGAGCTCAGAGCGGCGTCGACACGCATCAAAGCGAGATCCGGGGATCAGGCTCGATAGGCTAAAACACCCCGAAACTGGTAGATGTCCGATTAAACCCACGGAAAAGGTGGGAGCGAGCGGCGGCCGACTCCCTCGACACCCAACGGCTCACAGGGTCGACCCCGGGATCGAGCCATACCCGCACAAGAGGGAACAAGCCAAATTAGC